GATGACGATGAGATGTATGTCCCATGTTTGACACTCTCCGAAGCCGTCGTGCATTCCGAGACTCTGTGCTTGGACTCGAGTATCTTCACTATCAAGGTATCATACATCGCGATATCAAACCAGCAAATCTGCTTGTTACAAGAGATCGCCGGGTCAAAATATCCGACTTCGGGGTATCCTATCTCGGACGGCCCATCCGCGACGACGATGAGGAGCGAGTTACGGAGACAGACGCCACAGAACTCGATGATGCCAGAGAACTCTCAAAAACCGTTGGAACCCCAGCTTTTTATGCGCCGGAACTCTGCTATACTGGATCTGAGTTTGAGACCCAAATTGGCAATGTCCCGAAGATCACTGGCGCCATCGACGTTTGGTCATTAGGCGTTACGTTATATGGAATGATTTTTGGGAGGCTACCATTTGTTTGCGATGACGAGTATAAACTGTTTCACAATATCGTGAAAAACGAAGTTTTCATTCCACGCAGACGTTTAAAAGCAGTGGAAGTGGAACCATCGTCCAGCCAGACAACGAACCCTCAGCTTGTGATGAACAGTAACAAACGAACTGATGATGAACTTGCCTACGAAAGTATCGATGACGAGTTATGTGATCTTTTGAGACGTCTACTCATGAAAGATCCAGCCAAACGGATAACTTTGAAGGAGATTAAGCACCACCCTTGGGTGCTTCGTGATATCCCTGACAAACAGAAGTGGATCGAAACGACGGATCCGGGCTACCTGAGCAAGGGTAAGAGGATCGAGGTCTCGAAAGAAGAAGTCACTCAGGCGGTCACGAAAATGCCTTTTATCGAACGAGTTCGGTCGAACGTGGCCAAATGGGGCGGCTCCATTTTTGGGCGAGGGAAAGATGGCCGGAGACGAGCGCCTGTTTTAGCTACTTCAGCTACTTCCGTGTCGATATCAACTTCATCTTCGAGCAATATCGCTTCTTACAAAACCCATGACAATGAGGACCTTAAAAAAAAAGGGCTATTCAGCGATGATACGAGTCAGTGGTCACCATTCCGGATCACCAAAGATGGCGATCACGCTCCTTCACATAGCATTCTTCCGAATCCCCTTCCATCCGAAGACCATGGTATTTCCAGAAGGGGCAGCACTGCCAGTTCGTCATCATATCGGAAAGACCAATTCCCTGATGCAGGACGCCGTCCTAACCTCTCAGACAGGTCATCCTCGACGTTTTCGAGTGCCGATTCCACCAAGACAATTCGCCCCTTGATTACGGATGTGGCTCCCGTGCGGTCTCGAGCAACTACTCCGGTCTCAGAAACTCTGCTCGCATCCAGCGTCAACGGTATTTTCGGGGGAGCTGGACGTCGTCTAGGATGGGGTTGGCAGAGCCCCGATCGGCAAAGCCAACGATCTCCATCCACCGATCGAGCATCTATAGATGGAGATGCCCATTCTGGCCCTGTCGTTGCAGTCAGTACGACGTCTGCCACAGGCCTCGTCCAATCTCCCGACTTAGCCCGGGGTCCGTCTTCGACCTCTTTATCATCTTTGGCAAGCCATGACGTCCCAACACGAGCAAATACCTCATCTCACCACCGATCCCGCTTCCACCAACAGTTGCATGATGCTCCAGCCGAGTCGTTCCATGTAACCCGCGAGACACTTCTACGACAACGGATGCAGCATCAAGATCGAAGTCATCACGCACAGGGAGCCGCTTCGTGGTTCAAGGACTCGACTGAACGCGGCCGCGGCGGCTCCTTACCCGCTCGAGACACGCTCTCCTCTATAGACACCGAATGGCATCAAATAGGCATGGAACAAAATTATATGTTCAAGCATCCGATAGGAGAGCCAATTACTTCACCTCCATCAGCATTGACCATGTCCTCGTCGGATGAACTCACCAGTGGAATGTCTCATTCTGCCTCGCACCCGAGTATTCCATCAGTAATATCGGGCGCCTCTTCTCTCTCCGCTGATGGATTCTATACCTACAAAGCAGAGCGAGAGAAGGAGTTAGATGCTTTCGGACACATACCGCCCCTTCTTCGCACTAGAGAAACAGTCACAGCTCGGAAAACGCCATCTGACAGAACCCATGACGACGAGTGTAAGTACGACTGTGATGATGAGGATGAAGACGAAGACGATGAGTCAGAGGATGATGGGATTGTTCTTGGGAAACGAAATTCGTGCTCGTTCAATAAATCGAAGAGGATTGGATGAAAAGGGTCCATGGGAAACATGATTGTGTTCATTATT